CCTTTATCCACATAGTTCTAAATTCGATTTTGATTTGTGCAATTTTTTATTTCTCACCCATGATAATCAAAGGAAAAGCGCTTCTTGAATAGCATGCAAGTAAAAGTAAGGAGATGCGGATAAAGCCGAGTTGTTTCATAAAAGTGATCTCACGAAGAAACTCTTCTCTTGAATTTCAGATTTTATTTCAAAATTGAAACGATCTTCAAAATACTCACCTTTCCGCAAAGTTGGCGTACAGAGGAGGCATTTTAACAGCCACTTGGTTTTTCTCGTTTGAGAACATTTTCCCAAGCTAAAATGGCAGTTTTTGCTTTATTTTGGAGACATTTCATACTCGTCCCGACCCTTTGCCCTTTGGCAATTCAACTTTGAGCTCAAATTTCTTGGTGTTGGAGTTGTCCAATTTAAATAGTTTTTGTATCAATCGACAGAAAAAGACTTGAGGTGCATCTAATGATACCAAGCATATTTAAATTGAACAACTCAAACCCAAGGTATTTGATCTCAAAGTGAGTACCGATGGCAAAAAGAGCGCATCAAATGTTCGATAACCTTATTATTAGGTACTGGTGATGTTTTTAAGATTTAAGATTTTTAAAATACACTAACCGGACTAAGCTTCGATAGCTTTAACAGCCGATTGGATAATAGCCTTTTAGAGTGGCTTCGCAGACTACCGCATAAGCTCCAGCGCCTAGCTTCTTCTCGCTGATCTCGAGTGAATCTCTTTGAATCTCCCAAGAATCGTAAACGAACGGTGTCCTTATGAATCCAATTGACGTTTGAGCAAAAACAAACTCATCCATCGAGTGTGAGAGCTCTTCGATTTGATTTTCTTTTGTTGAATGGTGTAATCTGACATTGATCTCTTTTTTCCTTTTTCCCTCTATGCCACAACAACAACAAACTCGATCAGTTATTGGAGCCCTGAATTTGAAATTTTCTTCAACTTTTAAACATTCCAAGCTACCACGGTCTCCACTCTCTGTAAAAGAGTCGTCGCACAGTGAAAGACGGACAATGCAGCGATGAGCCAAATAAAACGATCAACCCAATGTAGATGCCTTTGTAATGATAATAAATGCTATTTTGTTTAATTTTTACCGTTTCCTATGACAACTTCCCATCTGGAAGAACCGTAGTCGAGAATCTCGAACCCATAGTGATATCAGGGAGCCATGGAAACATTTGGATTCTGAAACACATCCCCCACCAGTAGAGGGTTTCCTTTTGAGAAATTCCACGCATCGTCCATATAGGTCTAAATTAATGTAATTTACTTTTATTGAAATCAAAAGACATTCTCAAAGTCAAAGCAAAATCACTGTATAAAGTTATGACGAAATATTCTTTGTGCGCGCGCACAATCGCTCGCCATCTGAAAACCCCTTCGGCATAAGGTGCTTCCCTTTTGGAATGGATAAGAGGAAAGGAGCGTGAAGGATTGAGCTTGCGATTGATTGAGCCACCGTTTAGAAGTCGCCATACCAAACCAAGCCGCAAGGCGGCTTACGCTTAGTAAAATTTCCATGGAATTCCCCTCTTAGGAATAAATTTGGGGTGAGAACGACCCTCAGAGAGAAAAATGTTTTTCGAGATATTTTCATGTTAGATTTGAATTTCTGTCGCAAATTTTAAATATTAATTTCGTCGCATTCCAATTGATATCGCCGCCATTTGGAGACTGTGAATGGATTTTTTTTTTTTTTTTTTTTTTTTTTTTTTTTTTTTGATCCCCTCGATGTTGTATACCACCCCGAGTTGTTACGATGATATTCATATTGATGGGTTCCTTTTTGGCTTAGAGCTAATAGCGTTTAGAAATAAAACAGAAATTCTTGAATAGAAAAAACAGACCTTCTTTGCAATCGGCTTCTCTCGTAGAACTCGTAATACTCCATTGTTGAGTTCAGCACATTCCGCGCTCGAATGCCTCAGAAGTCCGGTGTCAATTCGACTATGTAACTGAAAGAATCTTAATACTTTCGTATTAAGATCCTTTCAGTAATCTTCCCCTATCACTTCAAAAGCTGCTAATTTGCATCCCTCATCATTCTCCTCGCCACTACTTGGTCAATGAAATCTACTAATACTAAGATTTCACAGCGCTGTCCATCTAGCTGTGCATGTTCACCTCGAAAATCTAAAAGTATAGCTTTATAAGATGGAGTCAGAAGATGTGGACAATGTAAATTCTTGTAGACGAACGGGGGAAAGATACGAAAGTTTAAGAATCTCAAACTTAACGTTAATCCCAGAATTAAGATCAAATTTTTAGCTTTCCTACCTGAGGAAAGTATCAGAATACAAAAAAACGCATACGAACGGGAAGGTACGAAAGTTTAAAAAGATCTCAAACTTAATGTTAATCCCAGGTTTAAGATCAAGAATTTTAGCTTTCCTACCTGGGAAGTGTTCACTCCCTTTCCACTCCCTTTCCTGCCATTTCTCTTTGCCTGATTCAGATATTCTCCGCGAATATCACACCATTCCTTTTTATTCTTGATCGTAGCAGTTCTCGGATTCGAATGATAAGTACAAGATCTTAAGTTTTGGCCACGAATCAGAAATCCCGACGTGAGTTCACTGAATGAAATTTTTGATTTATTGATAAAGCGAACAGCAATCGAAAATCGAAAACTAGCCCAGCTGGGTGATTAAACCGGGCTAAAACTCATCGCCATTAAGATGGCACAGGAAAACTCATTGCCATGTATTTTTCTTAAAATTTCAAACACACCATTCATACATCGTTCCGATAAACCAACTTTACAAGTCAAAGAATCAATAACTCCAATATTTGCAAGACATTCCTTTGAGATGCGCAATTTTTAAATCACTTCCGTCAATTTCTACAGCTGAATGTGAAAATCCCGAACTTGAGCCGAAATGATAAGTGAATCCGCTTGAAAGTGACAATGTGAGGTTTGCAATAAAACAAAGAGAACAAATCATAACTTAAAACCAATGATTAGCATAGATTAAGGAGAAACTATCGGTATGATGATTTCTTTTGCAAAAAAACTTCGTGTACTGTTATTTTGTGTACTCCAAAATGCTCCCCATTGTCATTTTTGTCAGCTCAATCCCAGATCGCAAAGCTACAAAAGAATTAGCCAAAATCTGCAAAGTTTCCACGCAAATTTTGGTTTCTGCAAAAGAATTATAAGCTTTTCGAGCTTCGTTTTCCGTTCAATCTCTTCAAAAAGTCTTGTAAATAGTGAACTTTTGATCTTTTTAGAAATCATTGATTTTTTGATAATTTTGAAATTTACATAGAGTAAATAACAAATAAATTTTTGAAAAACATTATTCAATTAGTAATCCGAAGATTCAATTCCGAAAAACCTTTATTTTTCGATTAACATTCCCCCCCCACCCGTTCTAGTGTTGTTTTTTTGCAATTTTTCTTTTGTACTCCTGCTTTACTTTGTTTCTAATTTGGTTAATAAACGATTAATAACGATTTCTGAAGGTCCAATTCGAAAAACCTTTATTTTTCGATTCAAATCGATTCGACATCCGGTTCTAGAGTTGTTTTTTTGCAAATTTTCTTTTGTACTCCTTTACTTTGTTTCTAATTTGGTTTAATAAACGATTAATAAAGTACGATAAACTGATAAAACTCCCAAATTATATTGAGCTATAATCTGCAAAAAGATCCTTCAAAGTTTCGAGTTCATTTCGAGCCTGTCTCCCACCTCAGCAGTTGTTCCAATGACATAAGCGCTTTTCAGTTTTCTGCCTCATCCCTAATGAGCAGAAAAAAAAAGTAGTAAGTTAATTCTCGAGTTGAAATTTGATCCTTTCCCCACCCCGTTTTCCTCACGAGTCTGTTGATATTTCATTTATGATAAAAGTTAAAACTTCTCGAAACTTTCGATATTATTATCGATCCGATGCAGCCAAGTCGACTCATTTTCTTTTCCGCGCTGGCGGTAATCGGTAAGTTTTCTTGAAGCCTGACAATCATAGTCAAAAATTGAATTTAAATTTATCCCTGTACTAATATTACTATATTATATGATTCTGTAATCTAATAACTTGAATACTCCTTTTTCACCTCAAAGAGACTCATTGGGCGACTTGAGTTAAAGTTGACAATGAATTTGAAAATCAAGTGAAAAAGAATTCCGGGAGCGATCCAGTTGGTTCTTTCGACCGAATCGGGTCGGCGAATCGTTATAAAGGTCTTTTCCCTTTTCAAAAAGCAAAAAAAAGACTAAAAGAAGAGGCAACAAACAGTTAATAGCTTCGATAAGGATACCACACTTCAGAAAATCATCCTTTCTAGACCACTTTTTTTCCCTGATTTCTTTTTACATTTAACGTGTGCCATATGCTTTGCATTTGATTGTCAAATTTTTATCCTGTTCGTTTTCGCCTCGTAAACCGGTAATTGTTGAGTTCATTTCACACCCATTAACTCGTTTTCTTGGATTTCTTTTTACATCACTAAAATTTGAATTGCTTTTATGAGAAACTCAACAGTTATGCTTTTTGATCTCTTCTGAAGAATGAGATTTTTGAAGATATAGATTTCATTTTTGCTTAGAGTTAGGTGAATCTTTGAGAAACATCTTTTTTACATTGCCATACATAGATATTTTGTTTAGCTTTTCAATTTAGGAAGAGAGCTTTTGGAAAAACTTGATCTTTACGAATGTTTGAGCTTTTCGAATCTAAGATTTCTATAAAGATTCAAATAAAAATCGAGTATAAATTGAAATTCACCTACTAGTTTTTGCTAAGCTATTCGGAACTTGGCCTCACTTATTGTTGGCCAACCGCCAACCACTTGCTATTGCATTAGTTAGCTTCAAATTGAGCTCACATTTTCTCTAAAACCCACTAAATCCCCCCATTTTTTCTAAAGAAAACTTCGTTTGCCAATTATTACTTTTCATTGTGTGCTTTATGGCACTTTATGTACTTTATGTACTTTTTGTACTTTCATTATGTACTTTCTGACGATGTTTCACATTCCGAACCCTTCTATGAACCCACTAAGCATTCGAATCCATCTGTGCCCACAAATCCCACTTTCCCATCGCATGTAAAGTTGCTCTCTTTTTCTCACTCTTTCCCCTTTTTTCCCTTATTCACATTTCTCTCATTTTTTGAATGGAGAAAGGCGAAAGATCAATAAAGCAATAACATCACTTCGTTTTCGCTTTTGGCTTATAATTTTTCGAAAACTTTCTTTCTTAGATCAATAAAAAATGCTATTATTATCAATCAAAAGATTTTTTTCTACGTTTTCCTTAAGCAGACAAAATAAGGAAATTGCTTTTAAAAAACACTTTTATACATAATTTTTCAATATTTTCTTTTAAGATTCATAAAAAATAAGTCACTTTCTTAAATTTTACGAAATTCACATTTTTTGAAGAATTGCAACAGCGAAAATTCTCCCTGGTGACAAGATTTAAAAAGAATTTTTAGTTTTTCGAAACGTCAAAAAATCAGACAAAATTTGGGGGATTTTTTAGGCTCAAATTTAACCCTATTCTTTCTTTTAAAATCTAAATACCCTAATTCTTACAATATTTATTTCAGCAATGACTCGCCAGGTCGACGCGGACAGTCAAGAAGGGAGTTCTGGGAAACGATCAAAAGAGACAACAAAACCGTTATCGCTGTCACGTTGAATGAGTGAGTGAGGAAAATCGTTTTCATTTTTTGCGAATCATATTAGCCATTTAGGTAACTTGTTTGTTTTGTGACTAGAAAAGAGTAATACCGTATTCTCTCTAATAGTAGTGCGCACTACTATTTTTTGAACCCCCTCCTGGACCGCAATACTATTAGAGGGTGCACTACTATTAAAGAGTTTTATCATTTACCAAAGTAAGACAGATATAAACTTTATTCCAAAAATTCTTGCAATTCTTTCACGTACTCCTTTGGATCCTTTTGACATACAGTTGTGGGCCGGCGAGTTGACAATTTGTGTCTTGACAAACAACAAAAAGATGTTTTTGCACTTTGCACAACAATTTTAGATTTTTTGCTAACTTTTTCATGTGAAGAATAGTTAATAAATGAATAAAAAAAGCCTCACTTTTGCTTGCTTGAATAGCTTTAGAATGTCACATAAACATAAAGTCACAAAGGTTTAGATGAAAAAGAAGCAAACAGAAATTCAAATTTTCGGGGGTGCACTACTATTTTTTGAACCCCCTCCTGGACCGCAATACTATTAAAGAGTGCACTACTATTAAAAAGTGCACCTCTATTAGAGAGAATACGGTAAATGGGGAAAGTTCATTTATATTAAATATTAAAAACACTATAATTATCTTGAAGCTTTGCAGCTGAATTTTTGATATGTTATTCTCCAGAGTCGATTCTACCTACCCACCAATTTGGGGGCAATCGGCGTCCATAAGTCCAGTCGACGCTCGATAGTAAATCACGCTCAATCACTTTTGAAAGCTCCCGATAAAACGCTTAAGAAAATACAAAGAAAAACAAAAAAAAAACGAAAAGATAGCAATAATTTTTTCAAAGTTCAGCGCTGTGAACAGTCCCGATGAAACAGGCAGATGGCTGAAGTTTGTTGTGATCTCCGATACGCATGATCAACTGGGAGAGATGATGGTAAAGTTGTACCAATTAGATTTCCATTTACAAGTAAATCTATGACATTTTTTTGAACAATCTCTTCTAACAATCAGATCTTTTAAAGCCGTTTTAATTCAGGAGAAAATCCCGATCCCCGATGGAGACGTTTTGATTCACTGTGGAGACATGACGAATCGAGGAGAAAAAGAGAAATTGGAAGCGCTCAACGAGCAATTTGGTAAACTTTAGAACTCAAAAACTTACCGTAAATACTGTAATAGTACCCCATCGCCATAATGAGGGTGCGGAGTGTTGCGTAGTCTAGCTTTGAACGAGTTTTTCTCCACACTGGTTTATGCTATTGGTTAGGCACAAAATTAAACTCCCATTCACAAATGTTTTTATATTTTCCTTTTTAAAAACATAAAAATCAAAAAACCCCCCCCCGAAAGAACCCCTTTATTTTTTATATTTTTAACGTTTACATTCATAGTCTTCTTCACAACAAAAAAATTTTTTTCTTATTTTTTTTTTAAGAACTGTTTCAAACTATTTATAGGTTAAAGCTTAATTTTCTAAATTTTTCTTTAAGTTTGTTTTCCCCCCCTCCCCATACAATGCACGCTTAGGCATCAAAAAATAGCCCTGAATTTCAGCTATTTTTTGACACCAAAGACTCATTTTTTGAAACTACGGGCGCTTTGAAAAAATGAAATACCTTTTGCGAATACGCGACTGTACGAGGGCGGTGGGGTACTATTACAGTATTTACGGTATCTTTCTCGAGTAAAAATGAGGATCTTTTCAACTTCAATACTTTAGGCCAATTACCGCATAAACACAAAGTAGTTGTCGCCGGAAATCACGATCTCGGCTTTGACGATACTGAGGATTGGAGTAAACGGTAGATTTTTACAGCAATCATTGAATTACGACTTTTAGACACTACAAATATCCAAATGATGGAACGAGAGAAGGGTACAAATTGCTGACGAATGTCACCTGGTTACATGATAAAGCACATGAGGTAAGACACTTGACACAATCATATTAATGATATCAATGATTAGAAAGGTGATTGAATAAAAAAAAAAAACTATTTACTGGATTAGGATTTAAATTAGTGCTTTTCTTAGATTGAAGGCATCAAAATCTATGGTAGTTCTTGGCATCCGTTGAGGGGATATCCATTCTACGTGGATCGGGGTGAGAAAATGGCGGCCAAATGGATGAAAATGCCGGATGAAGTCGATATTCTAATCACACATGCGCCACCATTGGGTCTGTAACTTTCTTTAGATCAGAGTCTATGCCCACCACCACCATCTACACTTTTGAAGAGCCATCCACAAGTGTCTCCATTGTCAGTACGTTTTTTTGTGTTTTTCTCACCGCTCACTTGACTGATTTGGCTACAGTTAATAACATTCGATAGCTTTCATTAATATCTATCAAATGAAGCCAATTCTAGCCAAATCGGTCAAGTGAGCGACGAGAAAAACACAAAAAAACGTAGTTTGGCAATGGGGACACTTGGGGGCGGTACTTCGTCGGTACTTCAAAAGTATAACTCCATCTATCATCAGGCTTCTGATCAAGGTAACAATTTAGGCTACTTGGACACATTTGGTACGGAACGATGGGGTGATTATGATCTATTACAAGCGATTGAGAAGCGGAATCCAAAGTGAGTTGAATGAAAAAAAAAAATTGAATATAGGGGTAATATCTTTTCATTCTAAGCAGATGAGTTACTCTTTTGAATCGATTTAAACAGAAATTCTACTGGGATTCGATTGGAATTGATTAAAATGCTAATATCGTTGAGATTTTGTTGTCCCTTTTAACGCAATTCCTTTTCAGTCAACGATAGAATTAAAGTTGTTTCTTGAAAACTATTTCAAAACAGAAACAAAAGTACAACAAGTAAAGTAAAGCTAATAGCAAAAAGAAAAGCCAAAAGTAAAGCCAACAGAAAAGCAAAAAAGAAAACAAAAAAACAATAACAAAAGTTTCAAGAGTTGCAAGTGGATTTACTTTTGTTCGAAAAACAAAACAAAGTCCATTCGTTGTAGGATTGTAGAATTGTAGAATTGTAGAATCGAGTTTCAAATCACGAAAACTCTCCCCAAAATTTGCCGCTTTCAAATTCAGATTCCACGTTTTCGGCCACGTGCACGAGAGCTACGGATCAGCGACGAATAATCGAACGACTTTCATCAACGCGGCCGCTTGTCTCAAATCGAACACCCTCTCCAATAAACCCATCGTTTTCTATATGAAAGTCCCAAACAGCTAAAAAAAATTTTCCCTTTCGGTCACCATTTATAACGAATTTTGTACTTTGTAGTTGTGTTCTTTTGTGAATCGCTCATTTTTTTTGTCTGTTCATCACTTTTCTCTCTCTCCCCATTCTCCCTCCCATTTCCACCCCTTTTTTTTCTTTCCAAATTTTCTTAACTTTGTCAAACCGGGTATTTCTTTCTTTTTTGAATTCTTTGAAATGTCTTTTTACCAGAAATTTCTATGATTTTCAAATTGATTTGGAGAAAAAAATTTATTGCAAAGATTTCCAAAGCACTTTAAAGAACTGTCAAAGTTTAAAGCTATCAAAAATTTAATTAAAAATCAAAGCTATCGACTTTAAAGTTTTAAGAATTCAAGAATTAAGGTTTCAACCTGTAATAGAAAGTAGAAATAATGTTCTTTCAGAAAGAAAAATGACTCAAAAATGGTCGAGAGCTCCTAAAGGAAAAGTTACGATTCCGGTGCAATTGAACTATGAAAAGTAAGTGAAACTTGAAAAAAATAGCTGTTGAATTGCTTGATCAGGACCTTTACTAAATCCAGTTTCAATAAAAGCACAGTTCCAAGCGTAATGTACCCGTGTCAGTATTATACATTAACCAGATTTTGTGCAGCCTTACAATCATCAACCAGCCTTTCTGCAAAATTGACCAAACCCTCCAGAAATAAAGTAAAGAAATGAATGGGAAAGAATTTGGAAGCGATGAGGACCTTCTACTTACCGGATAGACGCTCTACCACGCTATTCACACCTTTTTTTTCCCGAGAAGAAATAGGAAATTCAAGGAAGGAATTGTCTACTTTTCAGTGCTTTGAACACGATTGAGGAAGATGGAGAACATTTGAAATTCGTTGTCATCTCTGATACCCATTGTAAAATGGAAGAGATTATGGTTGGAATACAAAAAAAAGCTTCTAAATTTCACAAGTTTAGGCTAGAATCCCAGATGGAGACGTTCTTATTCATTGCGGAGATTTCACGAATTCTGGTGGAGAGGCGCCAGTCAAAGAGTTCAATGAACAACTGCAACGATTGCCTCATCGGTGGAAAATCGTGATCGCGGGGAATCATGAGCGAGGATTTGATCCAAGGGACAAGTACAGGTAGTTAGTGTTATTTTGATATCCTTAGAAAATATATAAACCAGCTTGTGCATAAATTTCTAGACCCGAGCTCATCGAGCTGCTCACCGAGGCCACGTACCTCTTTGATTCAAGTATTCAGGTTTGGAAAGTATAAAAAAGTGGATGTTCTTACAACACATAATATAAGTATAACTTCGATGGTCATATTTTTAGATAAATGGGCTCAAAATCTACGGCAGTCCTTGGATCCCAACACCAGAATACGCATTCTACCTCTCACCCGACGAGAGGAAATCGAAATGGGCACAGATTCCCGCAGATGTCGATATTTTGATCACTCATGGACCTCCTTTAGGTAAATTTATAGCTGACTGATAAATAGCCAAGGATATTTTAGGATATCTTGATGCACGTGCGAAAGACCAACACTACGGTGATGAACAGCTGCTGGAAGCTGTTGAACAACGAGACCCAAAGTCAGCCTAAAGAAAGACCTTTCAATATTTAATTAAAAATTGCCTACAATTTCAATTGGAATATTAAGATAGTAGTTAAAGTAGGCTCAAAATTGTCTTTTAGATTCCACGTCTTTGGCCACATTCACGAATGCTATGGGGCAATGACAAATGGTCGGACAATTTTTGTGAACGCAGCTCAATGCGATCGATCAATGCAAACTGGTCGATTACCTATCGTTTTCTACATAAGAATACCAGCATCATGAAAATTTGTTCCTTGTTTTTCTCGTGAATCTTTTACATCAATATGATGATCCGGAGCGGGAGCTGGAGAATGAACTTCATTAATGGGATTATAGATTATGATTATATGATTCATGATGATTATAGACAGAAAATAGTGTTTTACAATAAACTATTCAAGTTCACATTGATTATTGACAACAAAACGAGATTTCTTCACTTATATAATCTCTTACAATATGTTTTTATTCTTATACTTATTCTTATTCTTATACTTATCCTTATTCTTATCCTTATTCTCCTATCTACTCTGTTAGAATGTGATCTAGAGACCTGTTATAAAAGACATCTATTTTAGAAAACTTTCGTAATCATTTTATTTTGATGATCTCGGCTCTCATATGTTCCTAGTGCTTTGTCAAGGTTGCGCATTCAAAAACCTTTTTCTAAAAACTCTTTACCTTATTTCTCACAATCGAATCTTTGAAAAACAAAACACACTTTGTTGTTTGATTACTTATCTTTTCTGAAATCATCAAAATCTTAGATTAAAAGAAAAGTCGATTGCAGTTCAATGTTTCAATTACATCACTTTCTCTCCTTTTCCCAGAGAGATTTCTCAAAATACTTGCGCAAGAATTTTTAAAGAATGAACTCATCTTTCAATTTCTATTTAAAGAAATTTACGTCTGCCAATTTAAAGACAATTTCTCTATTGAAATTTTTCTAATCATGGGCAACCGATGGAGTCGAAAAGCTGATCATGTCGAGTTGAATTTCGAAAAGTTCGTTTTGATTTCGTTTTGATTTTGTTTTGATTTCGTTTTGATTAATTTTAAAAAATACGGTAAAAACTTGACTTAATATAGTATATTTTTAAGAAAAAAAAACCTTTTCTTGATAAATTTAAGCTTTAAGAGTAACATTTGGATAATTCTTTAAATTAATTTTTAACAGTATTTGATGATTGAGTTTTTATTCTCTGTAAAATCCTTTTTTTTTCCTCATAACAGACTACTAACCGAGCAAAGACTGGAGAAAGAAAGAAAAGAGACGAAAATGAAAGGATTGATCACTAACGAGCTTCAACTAAACGCGGAAAAGTTTGAAATTCTCATTTTTGATTTTCAAAAATCATTTTTCCAGTGCTGTCAATCGACCCGATGAAACGGGGAAATGGTTGAAATTTGTGGTAATCTCCGATACGCACTGTCAAATGGATCAGTTGATGGTTGGGGCTTAGACAATTGACAAGTGTTGGCCACGAACTGTAGCGTTAAAAGGCTAACTATTGGGTCGGTGAATTGAAAACTGCCGGCTATTGTCATATGTCACAGTTTGAGCACTTTCTTCAAAAGAAACCCATTTTGGTGTCAATGAAAAGTTGTAGAGAATCAAAAATCAAGCTTATATCCAAATTTTCAGAACGATTCAAAAACTGGTTTCAAGAAATGCCAAATTTACGAACTTTCACAAAACTTGCATTTTAAGCGAAACTACTAAGGTATCTTTTGGAAATTTGGCTATAAGCCTAATTTTTGATTCTCTAAACTTATCTATGGACACCAAAATGGGTTTCTTTTGAAGAAGGTGCTCAAGTGGGACATCTCCAGTCTTCCATTTTTGAGTCTCACACTTGTCTGAGCACAAACCAAAATCCTACTACGAAAGAGGAATCCGCAAATTGCCTGTAAAATGGGCAGAAGTCGTCAATAATAATGGAAATTATTTGGAATGAATTCATGATTTTATGTTAAATAAATTTTAGTTCAAAGTCCGGCAGTTTTCAATTCACCAACCCAATAGCTTGAAAATGCAAAAAGGCTAGCTTCTTTTAGAGTTTAGAGTTTTTTGAGTTAAAGCAGCAAAATCTTATAGTAAACTCGTTATCACTTACATTCCCGAAATTTGCGAATAACGGTAGAAACGTAAAAGTATTTTTTCGATAACATTGTTGCAAAGGATTCAAATGTAGATACCGTATTTTCTCTAATAGTAGTGCACCCAGAGCGTCGCCTAAATTGCTCGAAATCTCGAAAAGCGCCCATCAGAACCTATTGATGTGGGGCCGGAAAATGTAGCTGACGATGAGATCTAGTGGGGGATTTGAGTGTTGAGCTTTTGCGAAAACTTAGAAAGCTGTAAAATAGTCGCCAATTCGGCTCGCCGGGGTGCACTACTATTAGAGAAAATACGGTAAGTGCCATAAGTGTCAAATTCTAGGCGAAAATCCCGGACGGCGATGTGCTCGTTCATTGTGGCGATTTTACGAATTCTGGAGGCGAAGAGGCGGTCCGCGAATTCAACGAACAACTCGAGAAGTTGCCTCATCGATACAAAATCGTTGTGCCCGGGAATCATGACACCGATTTTGATACAAGAGAAAAATACAGGTATGTAGATAAATTATTTGGTCAATCAATAAGCCTATAGTCTTTATTTACAAATTTTTTTTTGCAAAAGCTAAACCATAGATCTTCCTGAGATTTTTTTATGATCATTATCAAAGAGATTTACATTATTCTACAAAGTTTTAGCTCAATCTGATCCTTTTTTTCTATCACAATTTCTAAAGACTCTTTCTCAAAGTCCAGCCATCAGATCGAGTAAAAAATTTGTAAAATAATGTTAATCTCTTTGATAATTATCATATTAAAATATCAGAAAGATCTATCGTTTACAAAATTTAGAAAAAAAGGAGACTGACCTAATAAAAATCAAATTTCTAATAGCTAACGGTGTTTCAGATCATCTGCCTCATCGACTCAAACAGTTCGACTCCTCACAGAGCCCACAATTCTCCTAGATTCATCTATTAATGTTGGATTTTTTTTCGTTTTTCGGAAAATGTAGCTGACGATGAGATCTAGTGGGGATTTGAGTGTTGAGCTTCTGCAAAAGCTTGGAAACCGTAAAATAGTCGCCAATTCGGCTCTCCGGGGTGCACTACTATTAGAGAAAATACAGTAAGTGCCATAAGTGACTGTTCTTATTTATGACTGTGTTTTTTGTCATTAATCGTAACTTTACAATCATTTCTAGATTGAGGGAATCAAAATCTACGGCAGTCCGTGGATTCCCCTTTGTGGAGACGCAACTTTTTACGTGCCAGCTGGAGAGGAAATGCAAGAGAAATGGGCAAAGATCCCCGAGGATCTAGATATTTTGATCACACATGGACCACCATTAGGTTAGATTTTGCTTATTGAAAAAAAATCATGAAAGAAAATCTCTTGCTACTTAGGCTATTTGGATCGAAGTGAACGAGGCGAGCATTGCGGCGATGCTGATCTTCTCGATGCGGTTCAGCTGAAAAATCCAAAGTTTGTTCTTGAATAACGGAACAATTTTGGCCAAATTATACAGAAATAATAGTTTTTATTGCCATTTAAGGTATCACCTATTTGGGCACATTCACGAGAGGTATGGAGCGATGACGAATGGAAAAACGACTTTCATAAACGCCGCTCAATGTACTTTATGGGGAAAGATTTGTCGGCTACCGATTGTATTTTATATGAAAGTGATTGTTTGCTTAAAAATAACTATCAATTATCTATAGTTTTTAAATTTTGAACACTTTCCACTTTCAGGTACCCGATGGAAACGATGGCTCAACTTGGAAAAGCTATACGAAATTTGAGGAAATCGACAAGTGAAGCTGACAGAAGAATAATGAATAAAGTTGACAAGTAAAGCAAAACTTTTGCAAAAGCTGATTTAAATTCACTATTCTAAGAGTTCCTCATAAAAAAACCTTTATTAAACTTTAAAAGTACATAAAACTTAAGCTTTTTTTTGTCAATTAGACGGCTCAATTCCAGCCTTTTTCCAAAATATTTCCTTCTTTTGTGCAATACTTTCCCCTATTTCCCCTTTTTTTTCTTCTTTTCATTCATTCCTAGCAACCAAAAACGACAAAAAGAAACTCTTTCGAAAGAGAGATTACCAAAAATTGTTTTCTGAATGAAATTTTTGTTTATTTGTTTGTTTATTTTTTTATTTTATTAACAAATAATTACTCATTTCTCACTTTTTTTTTCAAAAATCTTATCTCGTTTTGACGGGTTTTTTCACAGATTCGTGATCAAATATTGATTTTGTTTGACTCACCGAATGACTGCTTTTAGATCTTTTTGCTTTTTTTCAGATTTTGAAACCATTTCCAAAGCAATTCACAAAAGAACAACTCATTTTTTTAAAACTACATAACTTTTTGGGATCTTTTTGTTACTTGTTGATTTCTTTTGGGATCTTTTTGTTACTTTTTGGGATCTTTTTGTTACTTGCTGATTTCTTGATACCTTTTTCGCGTATTTTTTTGTGATATCTTTTTAAATTGTACTCAAACTTTCCTATTTTCGTGCTTTTTAGAAATAAAGATGAATCAAATAACTGAAGATTTCCGAAAATTGCGGCTAAAACCGACGAAAGAAAGGAAAGGGCAACAGGAGGAACTGATCGAGCTGAATTCGCAAAAGTTTGTCACTACTAACCTAGCCTCGCCTAGAAATTTGGGTACGTTCTGACCAGGGAACTGTTTTTAAATTAAAAAAAAAAAAAAAAAAAAAAAAAAAAATATCACCGATTTTCAAAACCGGACCTAGCTACAAAACGTGCCCTTTGAATTCTAATAGACATATATTTTTTATTTTTTCCTAGTAAATGCTAGTTTTTGAGAAAAACGCGTGCAAATTTTTGGCTAATTTCGGCAAAGGGGGCGGCAAAGGGCGCACTAAGCGGGACGGAAATAAAGCGGCGGTAGCCTAGGGGATAATGCGCTAGTCTATGAAACTGTGCCATATTTGCTCGCGGTTGCAGTTCCGCTCCCAGCCAAAGCCTTTTTTCTTTTTTTTCTATCACCTTTGGCTCAGTAGACTCGTTTTTGAGTGATTGCGTTTCAATGAGTTCAGTTTAGCGCGGTGAACTCTCGAGGCACCGAGGGAAAATGGCTGAAATTCGTTGTCATCTCGGACACACATGAGAAGTTGGTGAAAATACTGGTAAACTATAAGATTTTACGGAAAAAAACCAAGCTATTATTAGGATAAAATCCCTCGTGGCGATGTCCTCATTCATTGCGGGGATTTCACGAATTATGGCGGCTCGGCGGCGGTGAGCAAATTCAACGAGTTGCTCGGCAAATTGCCTCATCAACACAAAATTGTCATCCCTGGGAACCATGAATATGGATTTGATACAAGGGAAAGCGCTAGAGAGTTGGTGAAATTGTTTTCTTTCTCTTGGTTAGTTCAATTCCTTTAAGTAGTTTATTTTCTAAATGGTGTCCTTGGTCAAAAACTATCATAACCTGACACCTTTTAGATAATAGAAAAGAGAAACGCAGTCTTTGCCTAACAAAGCACCTGCCCACAGTTTGTGCTTAAGAAAATGAAAATTTAGATACGTCACGAGGGTGACAACGAAAAACCCCAGAGAGTTGCTCACGAATTGCACATTATTGATGGATGAGTCAATAGAGGTGAGGCCTAAAGGAAGCAGAAATCTAAAGGATTGCTGCAAATTATCTAGGTTCTCAGCTATATCTTAGCTGTAGCTTTGCGAACCGATTTAATTCCTTTTTAAGATGAAAATCATGAGGATTTTCTATGGAGAATTTCTTGATATTTGTAGAATTGTAGAATGCTTTTGAGATTTTTATTAAAGGCTTGAAAGATTCGCTCAAAAAAATCCTTGATACGCAAGCTTTTCAAGCTTTTTCTAGTTCATTTTCAAAATGAAATCGATTTTCTCGCTTTTTCTTGATACATTTAAGCTTTTAGAGTAACATTTGGATAATTCTTTAAGTTAACTTTAAGATTAACCGATGAAATTTGCCAGTTTCAAGAAAAAAATCATCTTCAAGAAGCTGATGAGCTCAGAAAAAGATCAAATGGTTGAAGATTTTTGTTAAAAAGACATTTGTTTTAAGCTTTTTAACGAGAAATGAGTCAAATAAATGATGTGAGAGCCTTTAAAATCTGTTCATGAAAAGCTGCAGAAATTCTCCGTAGAAAATTATCGCAATTTTCATCTTAAAAAGGAATTAAACCGAATCGCAAAGTTACCAAGATATAGCCAAAAAACTGATAGAGTTAACTCTCTCTAGAGTAGGATAGATTAAGTGCGTTGTGGTGTAGTAGTTAGCACATATGTCCGGTAAGTGAAAGGTCGCCGCTTCGAGTCCCGGCCGGGGCACAAGTTTTTGATCTGGCGTTTTTGATCCGTTAGTGGTCGTCTATAGCAATAATTTGCCGCAGAATTTGACCCTGTAAAGTAAAAGTTTCAGATCTCGGGTATCAAACTCTATGGCAGCTCTTGGCACATTCTGCACGGGTTCCCTTTTTATTGTGAACCCGGAGCAGAGATTCGGGAGAAATGGGCGAAAATCCCGAACGATGTCGATGTGTTGATCACACATGAACCGCCTAGGGGTGAGTTTCTTTGTTTAGCAATGATTTCAAGACCTTTTCTTGGTGCCAGTAACAGTCATGCAAGCTCTAATACTCGTTTTCTTTTTCGTTTACCGTTCGTTTTCGTTTCGTTCACACTCTATTTCGTTTACCTTTCACATTTGAGCTTTGAGGTGGAAATTTTGATGAAAAATTTTTTAAAAACACATGAAAAGGAATAGTTTTCTAACATTGGAAAGCTCTTTACACTAAATTCTAATTTAATTTTAGGATTTCTTGATAAAGGACTTCGCGGACAGACCTACGGAGACGTTGAACTGCTGCACGCGGTTGAGGCGCGGAATCCAAAGTAAAAAAAAACTATAATAACAACCTAGTAAAGATGATTAATATTTTTTTAAAATCAAACCCCAAGTTTTTTTTCTAGATTCCACGTCTTTGGCCATATTCACGAGTGTTATGGAGCGATGACGAATGGGAAAACCACATTCATCAACGCGGCTCAATTGGATCGATCAATGCAAACGGGTCGATTACCCATCGTTTTTTTCATGAGAATACCAGAATCGTGAAGATTTTAGTGTTTTGAAAATAAACATTTCTTTAATCAGCTGCACTTTTTCCTGGAATCTTACCGCGAAACGCAGAGTCTACCCGGTTTTTCTTGTAAACTTTTCATTTCTAAGAAAATACATGGATCCCAATACCAGAATACGCATTCTACCTCTCACCCGACGAGAGGAAACCGAAATGGGCACAGATTCCCGCAGATGTCGATATTTTGATCACTCATGGACCTCCTTTAGGTAAATTTATAGCCGACTGATAAATAGCCAAGGATATTTTAGGATACCTTGATGCACGTGCGAAAGACCAACACTACGGTGATGAACAGCTGCTGGAAGCTGTTGAACAGCGAGACCCAAAGTCAGCCTAATTAAAGACCTTTCAATATTTAATTAAAAATTGCTTACGATTTCAGTTCTAATATTAAGATAGTAGTTAAAGTAGGCTGAAAATTGTCTTTTAGATTTCACGTCTTTGGCCACATTCACGAATGCTATGGGGCAATGACAAATGGTCGGACAATTTTTGTGAACGCAGCTCAATGCGATCGATCAATGCAAACTGGTCGATTACCTATCGTTTTCTACATAAGAATACCAGAATCGTGAAGATTTGTTTTGTGTTTTGAAAGTGTTTTGAAAATAAACATTTCTTTAATCAGCTGCGCTTTTTCCTGGAATCTTATCGGGAAATGCAGTGTCTACCCGATTTTTCTTGTAAACTTTTCATTTCTAAGAAAATACACTCAAATTTCTTCGCAATAGCAAGTTTCAATTTGATCGAATTCTTCAAAATGACTCAACATTGTGCAATCCGTTCATTTTTTTGCCAAAAAAGAGGAAATGACGTGGAGATTTTTGGATAGAAAAAGGCATTTTTCTGATCTGATTACCACTTGAAAAATTTCAAAGCAGATTTTTATTCTAAAAACTCTTTTGACTAGCTTTCGATTTGGATTTAATTTTCTTTAAAGTTCATTTGACAAAATGAAGTAAACTTTCCATTATCTTATTGAATCCAAAAACTTTTTAATAATGATGTAATTTGAGTTATTTCTTTGAGAAAAGTTCAGTGCTTTTATTTGTTTCTCTTATCTAATTCTTGAGGCTTTTATTTATAACAATTAATAAATAATTTTAAGCCTAACAATGCCTTTCTACGTGGAACGAAAAAAGGGCGAATGCAAGAATAATCAAACAAAACTCTGGCGATCCGTTGAGCACAATTACACCGTGATCCCGATTGAGTTGGATGAGGAAAAGTTTGTTTAAACGATTTAAAACTGAACAAAGAAAGGCCTGAGCTTGTAGCTTCCGTAGCGCAGTAGGCAGCGCGTCAGTCTCATAATCTGAAGGTCGTGAGTTCGAGCCTCACCGGGAGCAATGTTTTTTTGCTTTCTGCTTTTAAAATGTTTAAAACTAATGAAGAAAGCATTTTCAGTGCCGCAAACTCTCGACCGAAAAGCGGACGATATCTTAAATTCGTCGTTTTGTCGGACACGCATTGTAAAATGGAGGAAATTATGGTGAACGCACGATTTCAAGCCTAATGATCTCGCAGATTTCAGGATCAAATCCCGGATGGAGATGTGCTTGTGCATTGTGGAGATTTCACCAATTTTGGCGAATATGACAAGATTTCCGAGTTCAACGACCAATTGGGAAGATTGCCGCATAAATACAAGATTGTGATTGCGGGAAATCACGAGCTGGGATTCGAGGATGGCGAGGATGTGCTGCGAAGGTGAGTCGAATAGATTCTTAAGGGCTTTCGTAAGGTAACTACTAACTGCAGCGGTGGCCGAGTAGTAGAGCGCACGTAGACGAGTCTCGCAGGTTCGAAAGTCTCTTTGGTTCGAATCTTCTTACTTCTTCTTTCTTTTGTTTTTTGGAGAACACTATTTCAGTGTGTTCTCCGCATGCACACGTAAACGTGCGTTAGCTGGCAAAGGATAAATACCGATATCCCGCCAATGCCAACCAAAACTGCCGTCAATTGTAACTCATAAACAATTACCCTCGGCGGAATTGGTTGTTGGATTGATCACATTGTTAGCGTAAGAAAAAGATGGTTTAAGCAATGGAAAAACTTGTACTCTTACAGAACCCCCGAAATGCAAACCCACGGTACTCCGAGAGGCTACAAACTACTCACAAATGCCACATATCTTCACGATTCTTCGATTCAGGTTCAAAAAAGTCAAAGCTATATGGATCAGCTCAATATAATGCTTAGAAAGTTTTCTTCTAATATCAAAAATTCGATTCTCTCAACCTGAATGTTTAGATTGAAAATTTGAAGCTCTATGGCAGCTCTTGGCATCCACTACGTGGCTACAGTTTCCATGTGGAACGAGGCCCGGAAATGATGGAAAAATGGAAGCAAATCCCCAAGGATACTGATATTTTGATCACTCATGGGCCACCATTGGGTTAGTTTTGACAAAAATCCCGCCAATCAATCTTTCCTAGGTTACAATGACGCTCGAGACCCAGAGATCTTTTGGGGTGATTTCGATTTACTCAAAATCGTTACAGCAAGGAAACCAAAGTAAGATTTTGCAAAGGAAAAGCTAAAATAGAAAACAATTCCTTGCGATCTTGCAAAATACAAAATGACGTTCATCAATTCGGAACGACGTTCATCAACTCGGCAAACGCTGATAAACGTGGCCATCTGACAAGGAAACCGATAACATTTTCAGGTATCACCTACACGGTCATATGCACGAGGGTTATGGAGTCTGCTCGAATGGCGAAACGACGTTTATCAATTCGGCAATCGCTGATAAACGTGGCAATCTTGCAAGGAAACCGATCATTTTCTATATACCATTGCCATAAACATGTTCAAATATTATCTTCAGCTATTTTTATTTTATTTGGTTTTGTTTTTTTTGATGTCTTTTTTTCTTAATAAAAAGGTCTTTCGCATCCTGGGTTCTCTTCACAAACATTACTCTATAACAAAAAAAAAGCGAAAAGAGGCCGCTTTCGGCCAACTGGCAAGAAAGGCTCCCTCGCCGGCCCCCTTTCGCAGCTTCCGTAGCGCAGTAGGCAGCGCGTCAGTCTCATAATCTGAAGGTCGTGAGTTCGAGCCTCACCGGGAGCAATGCTTTTTGCTTTTCTAGTTTAAAATCATAGCACTATGATGAAGCTTACTTTCAAAGACTTTTTAGACCATTTATTGACTCTATAAGACTCTATAGGTTCTAAAAATTGCAAAACATTAAAAGAAGTTCTTGTTTGTTGGGAGAATTGCCGCTTCTTGAATTTGGGTTTAAATTTGATTTCGTTTGCTTTAAATTTAAACTTTTCGAAAACGAATCCACGTGGCTAATCCCAAAAAAAGTTACCGCCTAAACCCTTCAATGACCTCTTCAAAATAAGATCTCCTTGAGATGCGGGTCGACCTTGATTTATCTCCAATTCTTTCAAAAAAAAAAAGTAAAGTGGTCATTTTGAAATAAAAACACGAAAAAATCTACATACCACAGCCATATTTTACAACGCTTATCTTTTACTGAAACAATTTGAGCTTTGTTATTTCATGAGAAATTGAGTTTTATTGAGTTTTTCTTATTTGTTTTTTATTAGGTTGATGCATAAGTGTTTTTGTTCCTTTTCGTCTGCCGTTTCAAGCCAACAAATGCACGAATTAAACTACGGTTGATTTCATTAGAAAAAGCAATTATTTTTCTGCAAAATAACATTAAAACGGGTTTAAAAATATTTAATGCCTGGATTTTCTTGAGAGTATGAAGTCGGGTAGTCAAAAAGGGCTAACTCGATGATGCGGTTTAGACACCTTAGCTAAAGAAAACCTATCTTCGTGTCAATAGATAAAAGATAGAGAAAAAAAACGTTTGATATTTCGCCAAAATTTCAGAGAAATTCATTCAGCCAATTTTTCCGTAGAGTTTTTTATAGATTTTTACGAAAAAGGCGTTTTTCACTCTCGAATTTGCTTGAAAGTGAACCGAAATTCATTTAAAAAGATGCAAATTGAACAAAAAAAACACTTTTTTTATAGAGCAAACTATAGATTAATTGGTGAATTTGTTACTTTTTAACAGAAGTACGAAAAAAACGAAAAGACTTATGCATCAACCTATTAGTTATAACTACAGAAGCAAGCTCAAACCTCAAAAACAAGCTCTGTTGTTTGAGAAATCCCAAATTTTTTACAAATTTTGTTAGTTTGTCAGCTTTGTTTAAGTAGCTTTTACAAACAAGCATAAATAGGCGGCCAATTTGCAAAAATTTTGCATTTTGCGATAATCTCAACAACACCAAAACATTGACCATTTGCCACGTTTCGATTTGTGTCCACTCTCAACACAATTTCCAAGAGTTGATCCCCGATTCCATTGATTCTCGATCCGATTTACGCGCCACCCATCCGATAAGCCCATCGCATCGATGAGAGGAAAAAGGGAACGTGTGTTTTCACATTACTTCCGATACAGTTTATATTAAAATTCAGTTGTACGACTTTTATTGAGTTTAGCTAATGTACATTGATTTTTGACTTCAGTTAATGATCGCAAAAAAAGTTGTTATTTCGAAGAACACGTTTGATTCGAATTTCTCTGTCAAATTATATAATCTTATAGTTTGTTTGTGGATGAGTGAAATGGACAAACAAAAAGAAAGTGACAGAGAAATTCGAATCAAACTGTTATTCGAAATAACAACTTTTTGCTTGTCCTTTTCCACAAAATTTTCAACAAACAACATCCTAATTGAGTGGTGGTTTTCTCGGTTTTTCTTTTAACAAAGCCCAAGGACACTAAAAAAGGTTCGAGAACTTATTTGCCTAAAATAGATTTGCAAAATAAGTTCCCAAAGTTTTTAACGGATCAAAAGTGAGTGCTTAGTTTATTTCCTAATGTTTAAATCTAGTTTTTAGCCCCTGTAAGTCTTGAGGGTTCAGCCCATGAGTTGGATTTGACTTGGTGAAATTGATTTTTATCCAATTTTAACTCATCACTCATCTTGAGGGTTCAGCTCATGAGTTGGATTTGACTTGGTGAAATTTATTTGTATTCAATTTTAGCTCATCACAGCAATTTCAACAGCGGAAGTGACAAAAAAGAAAACTTTACAAAGACTTTTTCGATAAGAACTTTTTTATTGCTTTATTTGTTGGTCTAATCTTCTTCTCGGACCTTCTTTCACATTTCTCAATCTGAAGATGCATTTCTCTCTCAAAACTCCACAAAGACTTCTTCGATATAGAACTTTTTCATTGTTCTATGAGTTGAATGAATCCGATTAGCCAATTCGAAAATTTTCTTCACAACTTTCTCTCTCTTTTTTTGCCAAATGATAGTGATATTCTTAAACTTTAACAATCATCTGAATTTAACTTTAACCCAGTTTTGCTTCAATTTCGTACTTTCCAAAAGATCGATTCATTCCCCAAGCGGTCAAAGTGAATCGTCTTTGTGTGGATCGTCTTTCTTTGTCCTTTCTTGGATCGATCTAATCTTCTTCTTGGATCTTCTTTCACATTTCTCAATCTGAAGATGGGAAATGATGCATTTTCTCTCTCAAAACTCCACAAAGACTTTTTGATATAGAACTTTTTCATTGTTCTATTTCGTGAGTTGAATGAATCCGATAATCCAATTCCAATATTTTTTTGATAACTTTCTCTCTTTTTTGCCAAATGATAGTGATATTCTTAAACTTTAACAATGAAACTAATCGTTCATTAGCTTATTTCACCACCTCGTATTCATAAATTTTTTTTCTTTATACTTTAGAAGTGACCTTGAATAGCAAATGGTAGACAGTCGAAGGTCCTTTTCCCCTTCATCCCTTTTTCTGATCTTCCAAAGTTTTCTCATTCACACCGATTTCTTTGCTCAATCAAATTCCTTGTATCATTCTTCTTTACATTTTTTCGTTATTTTTATAGTTTTCCATTTTCCTTCCCTTCTTTCTAACAATGCTCACTCATAAAAATGATTGACAAGAAATTTCTCCCCTTTCTCTTGAGATCATTTAAGTATTCATATTGAAAACCGGTTAAAAATTTGTTTTAAAAAACTTCATCTATGCCTCATTCTTCACAATGGCTGTTTCACGTCTTATTGTATTGCATAACAAACTTCACCATCACACATTGAGGAGTTGGGTTTCGGAAACAAGAACTGATTGTTTTTGATGAGTTGAATGAACTTCAACTCACTATAAGAACTAAAGCTTCCTTCCACTTGCTGATCTTTGTTAATTTCAACTTTAATGTTCATCTTAGAGCCGGGTGGACACAGCAAACGACACTCGTTTGATCTCTTCACTAGATAGGCGTTGACGATGGGAATTCCGAGTCATTTCGATTCATAGAAATAGAGACAAAACATGGTGAATCTCTGGGTTTTTCAATGAAATTCCCTTTGAATGAAATGAGGTCAGTAAAAAATGTGAATTGTTTACAAGTTACACTTGTCAATGCGGTAATATCAAAGTGAAAAATCAAACGAGCTTTTGAGGTGGAAAAGTTTTTTTTAAACAGCAAATAGGCAGACAAATTGGTTGAACTAAACTGCTGAAAAAGACACAAATTTCTTAATGAAATGAGCAAAGAATCCGGAAGTGTTTTCTCATATCGAATCGATATCTGATAATCGAAAGGGGAAAGAAAAAGCGGGGAAATGGAGAAAGTGAATGAACCGAGTGCATTCATTGATTGAAGAGAAGAGAAAAGAAAAGATCTTTGGGTGAAATGATAGGATTTACTCAAAAGGGAATTTCAACTGAATGTGATGATCAAATGGCATGAGCCACGGGTTATTCGACGCAGAATTTAACGGTGATTCGCTTGCTTTTTGCTTTCGGTTTCTGTGGAGCACTCTGTCACTCTGTCAAAAGCACTCTGAGCACTCTGTCAAAAGTTATAAGCGTGTAAAGTTTCACATGTGATTTCAAAAAACACACCCTCCCACGTTTATAAGCAGATTTCCCAGAGGCTTTAAGAAGCAGTGGTGGTCAAGTGGCAATGGGTTAGAATAAGAGGTAAAGGTTCTCTAGTTCGAGTCCGCCGTTCTGATACTTATCGTCGATTGCCCTCAAAATTGGTGGGTAGATAGAATCGACTCTGGAGAATAACATATCACAAAATTCAGCTGCAAAGCTCCAAGATTACGGTAGTTATAGTGTTTTTAATATTTGATAGGATCTAGGCGACAATGGGGGTTTCTCTCTCCGCAACGATATTGGGACTAGTTATCACAATATCACAATATCACAATGGATTCACTACTCGGTGGTCTAGTGGTAATGCTGCAAAGCTCGAAGATTACGGTAGTTATAACAAATATAAGCATTTCGCGCTCTATCGAGAAAATCGTCTCTGCTCGGAACTGAACGCATTACCACTAGACCACCGAGTAGTGAATCCATTGTGATATTGTGATATTGTGATAACTAGTCCCAATATCGTTGCGGAGAGAGAAACCCCATTGTCGCCTAGATCTTATCAAATATTAAAAACACTATAACTACCGTAATCTTCGAGATTTGCAGCTGAATTTTGTGATATGTTATTCTCCAGAGTCGATTCTATCTACCCACCAATTTTGAGGGCAATCGACGATAAGTATCAAAACGGCGGACTCGAACTAGAGAACCTTTACCTCTTATTCTAACCCACTGCCACTTGACCACCACTGCTTCTTAAAGTCTCTGGGAAATCTGCTTATAAACGTGGGAGGGTGTGGTTTTTGGGATCTCATGCGAAACTTCTCCAGAGTCGATTCTATCTACCCACCAATTTTGGGGGCAATCGGCGTTTGTAAGTATATGTGGTTCCCTTCTCAGTATCAAACTATTCA